ACCACACACACACACACACACAACACACACACACACACACACACACACACACACACACACACACACACACACACACACACACACACACACACACACTACTACTACTACTCTCACACACACACACACCACCACACACACACACACACACACACACACACACACACACACACACACACACACACACACACACACACACACACACACACACACACACACACACACACACACACACACACCACCTACACACACACACACACACACACACACACACACACACACACACACACACACACACACACACACACACACACACACACACACACACACACACACACACACACACACACACACACTACTACTACTACTACTACTACTACTACTACTACGTAACGTAACTAACTACAACACCACCACAACACACACACACACACACACACACACACACACACACACACACACACACACACACACACACACACACACACACACACATCCCATCACCATATGGGGAGGCAGGGTAGTTAAAGATTTCCATTTCTCAGGAGGGTTGCATGTCTGCAAACTGGCAGTGTGAGGGTTAAAATAAAGTGCATTGACATTTTAGCAATAGATCCATAAAATCCAGGTTTCATTATTTTGAATTTGGCTGATGTAAGGAATTCATTGTATCTGCTTATTCAGTCTCTTTCTAATTATTTACATCCAAGTCCGATATTTCAGACCTTTCTAAGAACATGGAATTTACCAATGACATGGATGGTTTAAATGTGTAAATTGCTAATTTATGTTAACTCGTAAATGTCTAGTATTGGAGATTTCTTTTGTCATTACTGACTTACATAAAAAAATACAGATATATTTAGCTTTAAATGATACACTTAAAACATAAGGAACATTACAACAATAGCAGCATATAAAAAACATTGTTTTGTCACACTCTTAAATGCACTCTTTCCTCGAGTCAAAGGAGAAGCCCTTTCCCCCAGTGAGCAACAATCATTTTACCACATCTTCCTCACATTAACATTCATAGTGCAGATCATCATACGCTGAGCAGCCTCTAAACAACAGAGTATCTCTCCTTAAATCGTCCCTTCCTCTCCTTTATTCATATGGTAGGAGGTGATGCATTTATCATATGCAAATTGGTGTTTGACTGCCCTGTTCAATGGTTAACTCCACCTTCAGTGAATGGGACCTTAATGTGGGATGCTGGTACCATGGCAACAAGAAAGCCTATTATGGAAATGGGACTCTATGTCGGCCATGCATGCAAACAAATCAGGCCCGAGTTCGGTTATCAGGGTGGGAGATGGATGGAGGGAAGTGGACGAGATGAGGAGGAGTGGATATCAGGCCAAGATGATGACAGAGCAGATGAGACTGTGTGTGTGTGCGTGTGCATGTGTGCTACATGTGTGTTAAAAATCGAGACAGAACGACAAGCGAAAGATAGATTGTATGAGGACCAGACAAGACAGAGAGAAAGAAGGTGGGGGACAGTAGTGACATTATTATTTACATGTAGAGGGTAACGTATATACAAATGGAAAACAACTTGGACTGATTGATATGAAGAGTACACTGACAGACGCTTTTTTACATAATAGCTCCACTAGAAATGTAAGGCTCTGTTGGTCATCAGCCAAAAAGTGAATCAACCGGTCCATTAAGGTCTGATGGCCAGTGCCAACATTAATTTCAGTTTTTTTTACAACTGGAGGAAAGATAAACTGCCTTGAAAGCTTGCAGCATAATGGCCTGCATTAACGTCAACAATCAAAAATATATTTTTTAAAGAAATAATTGATACATCTATAGATCTAGAGTGTGCTCCTTAGAGATACCATCATATAGCACTTAATTTACCCCCTAACCCATTAAACATGATGCGAGATGGTGACTCATATTTAATCATAATAAGAAGTGACATTCAAATTTGGCCAATTGAACTTGCTTATTTTAATAGAAAAAAAACCCTCCTTATGGCCGACCAGGCTGTCAAAGCAATTTATTTTTGACAAAGTTTTGGCCAAGTGAGTGTGTTACCTCATTTTTATATAACCGGTAGCATTAAAATAGCATTACAAGATAGAAAGCTTAAAAAAGAGATGGCATGATGGAAAATGGGTAGGAGTTTCTGGAAGTTCTAGACACGCAATATGCTGCACTCTAACAGTTGAAGCTTTGAGGAGAGATGGGAGAAACGGAGAGAGGACACACAGATGTTGCAGTTTGACAGCTGGATATCTGACTGGGAGTTTTCTCTGTTCAGGCTGGCTAACTCAGGCTAACACCATATTGAAGGGTCAAAGCTTACCGTACACAGAGGCTCTGCCGGTGGGACGACAAAAGCTGCCTTTTCATTTCTTCATGCTAAACGAGGAGACGATTGCTTGCAGATATTTTAGAAACTGTAGCAATTAAGCAGGCAGTTAAATAAATAAATGTTAGCTAACTTCACAAGTTTTGATATTCAAGCTGAGTAATTTTAAAACAATAATCTAATAAAAGACTGAGACTAAAGCCAGACACAGTTTGTGCTCTACATGTATTCTCTATAAACACAGTCACAGAGATAACCATCCCTCAGTATCAGTTATTTAATCAAACCTATTGTGAATTTGAAGACTCTCATAACCATCTGGGTGAAATAATATTCAATCTGCTGCACCATCGAATTGTGCCACCTTTTCCTAATCCAAACAAAGATGGTATTCAGATATTACACATCTCCTTACCGGATGTGTGAGCCAAAACATGTATTAACAGTTATATTGGTATACATGTTTCACTTTATCACTTAAAAACTATTTGTATTATTATTTAAAAATGTTATTCTATTTTGTCTTTATTTTTACCTTGTGTGAATCCTGTTTTTAACTCTGACCCTGTTGCTGCTATAAATGCCTGAATTTCCCAAAGGGGATAAATAAATGTCCGTCTTATCTTATCTTATCTTAAATTGATGTTTCTTGTAACTATTTTATTGATCATACAAGTTCAAGTAAATCGTTTTGTTTTTTTTTTACAAATTTAAATTCAAGCTAGCTTGTTTAGAAAATTCACGAGAGAGCGTTTGTCTCTTACATTAATACATTGTGCTGTTACATTTAGTGTATTTGCAGGAAAATGTACTTTATGACTGACTGTGTTTTCTCTTACAGCAGACAGGAGAGTACGCCACAGACGAGGAGGATGGGGACGGGACGGTGGCGGGCGAGGACAAGAACATCGAGGTGTTTGACTTGCCAGAGTCCGAGGAAATCTTGTCTCCCACAGAGTTAGACGCCACTAAACTCTACCAGAAGTTCAGAGAGGTAAAAAAAAAACTGAGTTTGTCCCACCACATTTCTCTCTGCTTTGAAGAATACGTTTGAAATACCAAATGTACCCACACACTCGCTAGAACAGAAAAGTGAATTCAATAAAACAACAAAAGACACAGACACAATGGAATGTAACAGCCCTTTTTACTCGGCTGGGTTACAGTAAATTCTTTTGTCTGGATCTCAGATCTGCTTACCCTCCCTAATTCCTAATCTGGAAGATTATTGGCGTGAACACAAAAGCTACGTGAGACCAATGCTCATTACATCTTTAATTACCCATGTTCGGTTAAACACACAGATGAACAGAAAAAGCTTTAACCTGAATTTGAATCAATTTGTATCCTGACCGAAGATACTGTTCACAGGAACTGCCTCTGAGAATAGAAAGCCATGTTGTTGAACTCTGACCCATCTGTACCAATGAACTCTGACCCGTCTGTACCAATGAACTCTGACCCATCTGTACCAATGAACTCTGACCCGTCTGTACCAATGAACTCTGACCCGTCTGTACCAATGACATCTGACCCATCTGTACCAATGAACTCTGACCCATCTGTACCAATGAACTCTGACCCGTCTGTACCAATGAAATCTGACCCATCTGTACCAATGAACTCTGACCCGTCTGTACCAATGAACTCTGACCCATCTGTACCAATGAAAATGAAAGAAAATGAGTTCACTGGCTGTTAACTGATTTCTTCTCTTTATCGCTGTGGGGAGCGGCTGATATCGATCGAAAACTCCAGTACTGTTTTTGGCACAGTAACACTTGAGGCTTTCTGTAGACTGCCACAATAGCTGTTTGACACATATAACAAATGGCTTTCAGCTGCACAGCAGACACTGCAGGGGATACCGAGCAAAACTATAATGCAATCCCTAGTCACAGGGTTGATACATTTCTTCCAGTTTCGTCACCTCTGTCCCTCACAGTGCAGACTTTCACCTTGTTTTCGCTTTGAGGACTTTCCCATTTCCTATTTCATCCTTTTCTTTCTTTGCTGCATTTGATACATTTTGCACAAAAACCTGACAACCAGATAAGCCTTCCATACAAATAATAAAAAGAGGATGTGGTAATAAATGGCTCTTGTTGCTTGTCACATAACATATCTTTTTATAACACAACTTGTTCTTATCATCGTCGGTTGCCAAATAGAAACAAGATGGTATCAATACTATCAGCATTCAGCATCATGAAACTGAATGAAGTTTGGCATTTCAAAGTTATTACTTTACTTCATCTATTTTGTAAGCTTGTGAGAAAAGTGATAATTAAAATTTGAATGGACTTAGCTGTTTCAAGTATAGGTTCACATTGTATTGAAATCATTACAAGACATTTATAAATGCCCTCCTAACAAAACAAGAAAAGTTGATGTGAACTTAATATGAGACTTCAGCAGTCTGAGAACATACATCACGTGGGTATTCTCCCAAAGTAATTGCCACCAGTATGCATGTGGATAGGGGAATAATGACTTGTGTTATAAAAGTGCTTTTAGAGATGGCAAAGACTGGAAAAGCGCTATATAAATACATCCATTTACCAAAGTCCTCTCTACCCCTTTTCTGTGTTTCTGCCTCACTTACTATAGCCCTCATTTGCCCCTCTTTCCACATCTCTAGTTCCACATCCACTTCTTTCTGTCTGTCTCATCTTCTTTTTTAGTTCTCTGTCATTATCTCGATCCCGCTCTGTCTGCCTGCAAACGACTGCTCATTGCAACTTCCATGCATCACTCATTTTCCCCTCTCTCCATTTCCAACTCCATCCATGATACACTTCAAAAGATACGCAAGCCTTTTTGCATTAACATTTAATCCGTTTTTAATAGGGGATGGAATTGTATTGAAAAAGTGACAGATCTTTTTATGTAATGCTATGCAAAATAACTTTTTTTTTAAAGAATCTAGCTTTTTATCTGTCTATCTCCTTCCTCTTCCTGCCTCTCCTCTGAGACTGTGTGTCAGAGCTGGGGGTCTGGGCTGTCAGTGGAGGAGAGCCTCGGCTGCCTCGGTCCCTCACAGTATCCACAGCTGAGAGATTCTGCCCAGCCATGCATTTGAACACTGACCACCCTCTCTCTTCTCTCCTATCTCCTCTTGTCTCCGCCTCTGCTCCAACAGCTCCAGATCAAACACACAGTGACGGAGGCCGAGATCCAGAAGCTTAAAAACAAGGTAAGAGATTAAGACTGTCAGTGTGCGGGCTTAATGGGTGCTAACGACAGAAGTTTGTCAAGGTTCAAACTATTTGTAAGGGAGATGTGGGGATAGTGTCAGGACAGGACACAGAAAAAACAGTAGCTAATCTTATCTGATCAAGCTTCTTGTAATACGCTGCAGTAGTTGCCTTTACAAATTGTGATTTAGGGCACCTGGTATCACAGTTTTTTATTTTTCAGCGTATATGCATGTGTTTATGTTTTCTTAAATACACATATGAAGTGTTTCATTGATATGCTTCGTCAAATGTTAATGAACTAATCTCCTTAATTCCCAAATGAAAGTGCTGAGAGTTAATATGATTACATTCACCCAAGCAGTGGTGCTTAAAAGGCTTTTTTTAGGAGTTAGAGTGGATCCACTTTCACAGAAAAATTCATTGATGCCTTTTATGGTCTCAAAACATGATTTTTCTCCGACTTTTGCATTTTACTCTCTGTAATGTACTTCCCAGTCTTTAAAATCTAGGTTTGTTTATTGCACATTTTCATGTCGTTGCAGTCAATATAAATAAAACTACACATGCTTTGGTTATAGGAACAAACTGTATAGTAAATGGGAAGGGTAACATATAAAAGCTTTCTTTTTAAAACATCCTTTTTGTTGCAACTTAAGTTGTCTTGTCCCCTCCCAGCTAACGTCAGTGGAGAGGGAGAAGCAGCGCTGGGAGAAGGAGAAGAGCCAGCTGAAGGCCAGCATCGAGGAGAACAAGGAGAGGATGCTGAAGCTGGAGAGCTACTGGATCGAAGCGCAGACCCTCTGCCACACGGTCAACGAACACCTGAAGGAGGCGCAGGCACAGTACCAAACCCTGGAGAAGAAGTACAACAAGGCCAAGAAACTCATCAAAGACTTCCAGCAGAAGTAAGTGTAATGGTCATGCTCATCTTGGATTGAGTGTTTGCTTGCTTGTGTAAGAACTTATCTTGGCACATATTCTGTTTTACAAGAAGAAATACATTTGTATTTTGGTGAATTGTTAATAGACAATAGCCATAGCCAACATTTCCGGGGATTTGATCTTAAAGAGAGAATTTTTTTTAAATGTCTTCCCAACTCGAACCAACTGTGTCCTTGCAAAGAAAGATGCTTAACAGCTCTAAATGACTTCTAAAATACCTCCTTCACTTCTTAGCAGGAGATCCTCTCACAAATCCTGCCATTAAACATTCGCTGAAATAAATCATCTAGAATGAATTCCTTCATTATTCCTTTTTGCAGCTTCCTTTGCTTCAATGAGCAGAAAGAAAACTATCTGCAGCATTTCCATCTGTAAGGCAGAGCAGCTCTTTTTATAGCCGAAGTCTTATCTAATCTCGACAGTAAGAGCCGAGTCTCCTATTCTCATGCAGCGCAGCTCCCCTGCTTTTCAGTGCGTTGATCTCTTTGGTCAGTCCCATCACAACCTCTCCAGCTCAGCTCCAGTCTGACGACCTCTAATTGGCTGTGGCCCTGATCTGTAGCATAGGACTGAGATGCAGAGGGCAAAGCAGGCAAGAAGAAATGGTGGAATTTATTATTCTTAAGATGGACATGAATGTGTGTTTTCTAGCTGTAGATATGTGCACACACACACACATAGATCTTGTTTCCCTGAGTGGGCATACACCTACTCACCACATTGCGAACTCCCCTCCCTCTCTTCTTTCCAGAGAGGTGGAGTTTATCCAGAAGGAGGATGGGGAGAGGAGGCGGCTGGAGGAGGCTGAGAAATCTCACCTGGCAGAGATCCAGGGACTGCAAGTCAGGGTAAACCAGAGCTCCTTGTTTATCTCTCACATCCATCTTTTCCTGTAAGCCTCTCCGTGTTTAAGTTGTTCTGTATGTGTGTGCTAAATGACTGCTTGTTTGCCAAAAATTTCCTTGAAGCAAAAATAGTATAATGAATGCTGCACTTCTCCTGTCTGCCTGGCACATAAAGGCTACAATAGGCTGTAGATGTGTTACTAAATCTAGTAATCAAAACATTATTAACGGCACTCCCCCATGTTTGATTTCTTTCTGCAAGGCTTTGTAAACATAACATTGGACAGTAACAGCAGGTGTACTCTGTGTCCAGGGGCCTGCACTTGTTTCCATTGTCGAACTCTGTATAGATGTTCTGCTTTTCTAGTCTTAAGACATGACAGTTGTGGTGTTTTCTGCTCAGGCCATGCCCCTCAGTCGAATGGGCAGTCAACCTAACTGTCGCTGGCTATTATTCTGCACAGTGAGCATTCATTATTCTGTGGCACTGCATTGTGAAGGGTGAGTGGTCAACTGGGCACAAGCACGAGTGGTGGAAAACAGTATAATCTATAAATCCAACAGCAAGATAGCAGGCAAATGCTTTAACTCAACTGATACATTACTTAACTGGTGCTTTCCAAGTACACCATGATAAACCCTTGTCATGTAGTATTTTTATGTCAATGCTTCAAAGCAGCTATTTCTCCAGGTAAGTGCCTACGATTGAGTAACATTGATCGGTTACTCTCCCTCTGCAGATTGTAACATTAGAGTCGGAGCTAATGCAGCTGATGAAGCAGAACGGCATCCAGGTGAACAACAACAACAGCAACAGTGCTGAGAGGCTCGGCGCTCAGCAGAGCAGCCCCAGCAGAGCGGCAGCAGCCAGAGGTGAGTGTGGGAGGGGACCCCTACTCACTGCCAGGAGCTTTATTATTATATTGATTTAAATTAATAGTTTGGGGAACTATTCCGAGTGAGAATTAGGTAAAAAGATCAATACTACGCTCCTGTCATAACACAAATTAAACATGTTATTTATTGAGCTTAGAGGTGCTGGTAGGTTGATTTTTCATAACATATCAACAAAGTAATGCTAGCTGCTTCCCACTGTTCCCTAAATGTATGCTAAGCAAAGTTAACAGTCTCCTGGCTCTAGTTTCCTATTGAACGGCCAAACGTGTTCGATTTTCACATATATCTCTCAGCTAGATAGAAAATGTATGTTTCCTAACATGCAGAACTATTCATTTAGGCTCTCAATTGTTTTTATTTCATGTTTTTATCTGCTTCAGAGACTGAGAAGTAAAGGTTTCAGTGAATACTTTGGTAGATATTTCAGAAAACCCTCATGTTTTAGTAATAATACATTTGATTTATATACTGTAGCACACTTTAAAGACAAACGTCATCTCAAGGTGCTTCACAAAGCTATAAGGAAAAATAAGTAAAAAGATATCTAAAGGAACAAAAAAAATAAAAATAAAAGGTTAAGAGCATAAAAGGTTTAAAAAATGAATAGTAGGTTGTTTTCTAACCATGGCTAGGTGAAGGTCTAAATGGATTAATACATTTAGTGACCAGTCAAATAGGAGATAAATAGATAACCTGAACATCTCTATATAGTTGTGATACAATCTTAAAAAACTTACAAAGTTTCCCAATTACATAAAATAATCGTATCCGATTATTATTATGATTACCCTTTTTTCAGCCCCTGCAGTTTATTGACTCATCTTGCCCTCCGAAGGACAGTTAAAAAAGCTCAGTGTCTCTTGTGGCTTAGAAACAGAAAGAAAATACAACACACACACACACACACACACACACACACACACACACACACACACACACACACACACACACACACACACACACACACACACACACACACTGATGCTTGGATTTCATACACACACATCCTCCTCCTCTGCTTTGAACTTCACACCCGCTTTCACCTCTGACCCTAGTTTCAGCTCTGCAAACAAAAACAAACTTGTAATCCCTTTGAGCGCATCTGTCTGGTTTTGTTCTCCTCAAGTGTTTTTAAGCTCCGCCGACTTCATTTCAGCGGGCGCATCTGTCAGGTTGGAGTGTGCACAGACTATATCTGATACTGTACTGTGCAGACGGGATAAGAGAGTGATTGGATCTGCGCTGATCCGAGTGACGCAGCCCATTATGCAATATTAACAAGGT